CCCTAACCTATGGGATCCTACCCTAACCCTAACCCTAACCCTAACCCTAATGCACCCTAACCCTAACCCTAACCCTAACCCTAACCCTAACCCTAACCCTAACCCTAACCCTAACCCTAACCCTATTCCCTAACCCTAACCCTAACCCTAACCCTAACCCTAACTACCTACCTACCTACCTACCTCCTAACCCTAACCCTAACCCTAACCCTAACCCTAACCCTAACCCTAACCCTAACCCTAGCTGATGCCTCATCAACCCTAGTCCCACCCCATTTCTCCCCACCGACCACCACTCACTCTACTTGCCACTCACTAGCCCCTTGCCACCCGTACTCATCCTTTCTATGACCCACATCCACAGTCCCACCCATCCCACCATACTCATCCTCCATCCCACTATGCACATGGCTGTTCATGGGCCTGAATTGATTCTTTGATGGTGATTCACAATCCCCATCCCCCCATTGACACTTGCCGGTGTTACTCGTTCGTCTGAGTCGCATGTGCGGGTTGGTGGGTGACATGAATGTCATTCAACATTTTCATGATTCGCCACTCGTCACTCGTTCGATTGTTTGATGTTCAATTGATTGTCATTGATTATTGTCAATTGATTATTCGATTGTCTCTGTTTCTGTTCTTGTTGGCTGACCATGTTCCTTGCTCTTTGGCGTTCATGTTTTCACATGCTTTGTTGTTGCTATTGTCTGCCTTCATGTTCTGTTTTGGTTGTTTTTGCCTGTGATGGTTGACTACAATCGACATGCATTCTCATTGATCATTGCCTTTGCTCTTGTTGTTGCTTTGTATCATTATTCTTCATGCTTCATTTGCTCTTGACTCCCTTGTTTTCATCGACCTTGACTTCCACATCCACCATCGGGCCTTGCTCACTACAGTATCGTTTCTCATCTTTCTTGTCGTCAGTCATGGTCAATAGTTTTGCATGTTATGTATTTTGTGTTGACCCTGTTGTGTCGTGGTCATGGTTGATCTGCAGATCTGAACGATCAACCGCGCCCTGCCTCATCGACCTCAACGTCACCCGAGTCCATCCCATTGCCTGCTAGCTTTGTCCAGTCCCTGTTGGCTTACTCATATGTGTGCAGTGCGAGCCATGTATGATCTTTGGTTGTTGGTGTGGACGTCATTGCCTCGTTTGATGCTGGTTCAAGCTTTTCTTCAATCAATTCAATGTTCAACTCAATTAACGTCCGCCGCCTTCCCTCTGCCGGCTAAGTACCCGCCGCCCCTATCGCCCACACCCCACACACACCCATTAGCCTCATCATACTCACCCACATGCATCCGCAAGCCCAATCGCCATACCCACCACCATTCCGCCCGCCACGCCAATCACCTCACGACCCCCCTCATCCCCCCTACCACACTTATTACGCCCAATCACCACCAACCACTACCCTCACCCCCTACTCCACCACCATCACTATCATCCCAGCCACAACCCCCAGCCCCTTTGCCATGGCCATGCCCACCACCATCCCATCGCGCATCCCGCTTCCTCTTCCTCCTCGTCCTCCTCCTCTCCCCGCTCTACCTCACCCCTATCCGCATCCCCGACTGTGATACCGCCATCCCTCAACCATCACCAGTCATGCTGCCCATCGTTCAACCAACAGCAATCTCGAGCCACCCAGTCCCGACCCAGCCCCCTCAGCTGCCCCCGCCTCGCCGACCACCAGCCGCCAGCCGCCACCCGCTCGCCCGATCAGCCCACCTTCATCACCACCTAGCTCCCACCCACCACTAAAAATGCAACCCGCGACCACACTCCCGGCCATCCCTAACCCCACACCAGCACTAGTACCAATATCGTCATCATTCATAGTCATCAACCTCTGCTCACTTCCGCGGCGACTTGTTTGGTGGTTGAGCACTTCCTCATTTTGCCGTTCGAGAACATCACAACTCGCTACTGTGCCTTGATCTTCGTATCGGTCTTGGGCTTGGCCCTGGCGATCATGCGCCTGCGGAGCAGCGTTGGTGGCACACCCTGCTCTCCATCACTATCTTCGACGGCCATGAACACAATCCACATGACATACGCCAGAGCCATAAAGCTGAAGAGCCCGGCGATCGGACGCCCGACTGAGTCCAGTCCTTCAGCTGCGATGCGCGGCAGTGTCACTCCGCCGAGATACACCATGTACGCCACAGCTTGCACAGCTGGCAGCGCCATGCACCGCTTTGGTTCCACCAGCCCGACAAGCGAGACAACAATCATGCCGACGATGGTACACGCCGCCACACGAGCCACCTCTGGCGACCAGCCCTCGACTTTCCCCTCGAACAGCACATGTTTGGCCGAGCCGGTCCACAGCGTACCAGCAACGGGCCCGAGCACAATTACGTTGAGCAAGTACGGGAAGCGTTCAATGACCTCGTCAGCCATATGTTCTCCGTAACAACAGAGAGCCGTTTTGCTGCAACCTCCTCCGACTCGCGGCAAGGCACCCCGGGGACGGGGGCTGCCCATTCCACTCGGAAACTGCCAGCACGACTTCAAACGCGACACAGTCCGACTACTGCTCTCTCCCTCACATACACACGCACGCACACACGCACACACTATATCTCTCTCCCTTCCTCTCTGCCTTCTTGTTACCCATGGCAAGTGACGTGTCAAGCGAGCGCGAGCGGATGGTGCTCAAAGAGCTCGCCCGTGCCCGCGACCACATCCCCGACGACGAGCTCGTCTCGTGTGTCCGTGAGCTCGTGCTCGTCAGACTATGGTAAGCGCCCCATGCCGCCTGCCTCAGCTCGGCCTCTCCTCCTAGTATGCCCCCGCGCCTACTCACATGTAGATCCACCGGTAGCATCACTCCGTACAAAGAAGTGACGCTACAGATCCAGTTCCCTCCCGGCTATCCGGCCTCACCGGTGGTGGTCATTCTCAAGTCCAAGGCGCTGCCACAGAGCTTGGTAGCCAAACTGAAGAACCTGTGCGAAGCCGAAGCTGCTGCCCATGTTGCGATGTGCCAGGTGGTCCCGGTCTACGACAAGCTCAAGGGCTTTATGGTGCAGAATCTACTGATCGCAGCCTGGGATGAGTTGGTAGCACTGCGCTCCGACGGCGGCGACGGCGAGGAGACACTGTCGAAGAAGATCAAGCTGTACGAGGCCCAGGGCAAGGTCAAACTCGTTCTCGCTCAAGGCAAGTACAAGCTCACTGCTGAGCTCACCATTGACAACCAGTATCCGGCAAGCCCTGTCGAACTGGAGATCACACGCTCAAACTTTACCCCGCAGTACGAGGCCATGTTTGCCGCTCACGCCAAGGAGCTGGCGCGTCTGGCTGTTTCCGGGCCGCTGCAGCGGCTGTCAACGACCAAGACCAGATCGTCGTATGCTGGGTCGACTTTTGCCGAGCGCGGTGGCCGCCGAATTCTGGGCAAGACCCGCAGGCTGTTGGCCGACCTCGAGGCTGCCGAAGCTGCCGCGTCGACGCCCGAGCCGAGCAAGACTGTCGAGCCGCGGCGCTCACTGCTGGAGGTGGCTCAGTACCTGATGTCATCGGTTGCCAACTACCCTACCCAGCCGTGCCAGTGCTGCGAGGAGCCCGTGTTCCCGGCCGATCCGACAGAGCTCGGGAAGGTGACGTCCAAAGCGCTGCAGGTCGAGCGCGTGTACTGCGGTCACTTTTACCACTACGGCTGTCTCGACGTCTTTCTCAACTCGCCGCCATTCAACAGCGATGGCAAGCCATGCCCGGCGTGCGGAAAGCGCATCTTTCACCGCAAGTGGTCCAACGATGCCAAGGAGCTCGAGTCAGGATGGGCCCACAAGCAGGCTCGCCACCGCGAGATCGGCGAGGTCATCGACTTTCTGGGCGAGGATGCTGTCGGCGAGACATATGAGGGCGCTCCACCACCGTGGCTCGCTGGTGCTCTCGCTCGCGCTGGTCTCGTGGTCCCAGGTGATGTCGCGGCCGCGGCAACAGCTGCAGCTGCTCCGCCGCCGTCGTCTGCCGCCGGCAAGCGGAAGCGCAAGAAGAAGAAGAAGGCGACCGCGCGCATGGCGCAGGACGACATGTCGGCCTTTCTCTAATACTGAGAGAATACTCACATCATAAAGCTTTGCACTCTTCTGGCGAGAGCCCGCTGTCATGCAGACGCTCCTCGTTCAGCGCCCGGTCGATCTGGATGGCAAAGTCCGAGAGGTTGATATTCCCGATGTGGTTGTTGTCCGGACGACACTCACTGCATGCCACCGTAAAGTAGCGGACGCCAACGAGGTTGGCCAGCGTGCACGACTCGCCTGGGCCAAGAACTGGCATAATCTCTACAACGTTCTGCCCGCGGCGGAGGACATTGAGTGCGCCCCACATCGCGCCGCCGTGTACGCCCATCACCACCACGGCCGACCGCAGCAGCGCGTACTGCACGTCAGACGATAGATGTCCGAAATCGACCGCCACAGTGACATGCTCTGGATAGCGCTCGGCAAGCAGCGAGAGTACATCGTCCACGTTGGCGAGGAGCCGGTAGCGGGCACGCCGAGCATAGATGATGAGCCCGCGATGGGCGGCGTGGCGACACGCAGCCGAGTCTTTCGGGAACGCGGCAACCTCTGTGCCGTCAGCAAAGCACCGGCCAACTTCACAGATTTTGCGCTCCATCATCATGCCGCAGATGTCAAAGTCGCCGGTCGCTGCCGAGATGAGCGACGGGATCTCAAGCGTGACGTGAGCGTCGAGAAACGGGAACACCTTTTCCGCGTACGAGACAAGGACCGACGAGACGCCGCGGCACTCGGACGATGCACCCCGGTAGCCTTGCCAATGTGGGCCGTACAGCGGGAGCGGCGTAAACGCCACCAGCGGGAGTATGCGTGGGGGCGTGTCGGCCGGGGCGCGTGGAAGATCATATGGGTCAGAGTAGAGCGAGTGCCTGCCGAGCGCGAGCCAGGACTCGGAGACCGACTCGGGGCCAAATCCAGTGACGAGGAGCACCGAGGTGTTGAGCGGTGAAATGCCGAGAAGGTCTTGGACAATGTGAGCGTTGTGTGGGTCGGCGATGCAGTGACCAGGGTTCCGTGTTGTGCAATCACCGCGGACAATGATGGTAAGCGCAGGTGCGTCTGCAGCACGCGCATCGGTTTCAGGCAGTGAGTCCAGTGGGAAAACACCGACCAGCGACTTGGAGAGTCCCAGCAAGTCGTCGTATCCCTTCATCTCGTTCCAAAACACGGTGTGCGGCTTGCTCTTTCGCACGCAGTGTGCGGCGTAGCGACGCATGTACGGACTGGGCACCTCGACGGCCTGTCGGTCGGGATACTCGACCAGGTTGGTCGCCCAGCAAAAGTACGCCCTGTCCTCCTGGAACCAAGCGCTGTGCTTGGGAAATGTGGCACACTTGATGGTGGTCGGCCCGGAGCAGACCTCAACAGCCTCGGCCATGCGGGAGCGATAGTGGTCCCACCCGATGGCGGCGTCGACGCAGTCATGAATCTCGTGGGTGACAAGTGGCGAAAACGCGCCTCGAAACCGGTTCGCCAGCAAGTCGTGGACATCTTCGCCGGCATCGTCCAGGCCTGCTACCGGATGGTTGCCATGGACACGACGGCCGTCGGCCTTAGCGCCGCTCGGCTTGTCGGTTCCAATGTCGTCGCTCGCCTCACTGTGATGTTGCGCATGGACATGCCCTTCCCGTTCCAGCCCGTGCTGCAGCCTTGCCAGAGCCTCTTTCCGCTCTGTCTCTGTCGCCTCCAGGCTTCTCCGGTCGTGCTTGCCCGCCACGTGTACGTGGACATGCCGCGGGTTGCCGAGCACCCACGAGCTGGCCAGCAACTGGACGACGCCGATAGCAAAGACAGTTGCCCCGAGCACTACCACCAGCACTCGCCTCCTGCTCACCATGACAAGCAAGATGTTCCGTCTCCACAACCTTGGCTGTCTGCGTGAGGTGCTTGTGTCTCTGCCTGTAGCGACGAGCGAGAGCAAGAGTACGAGTCTGCCTTGAGTTGAGCTACAGATGCTGTCCTTTTGCTCGCCAGCCTCACACACACGCCGCGCCTCCTCGTCACGCCCTCAAACACCATCCCTGCTGCCATGTCCAGTCCCAGCCCCGATACCCACGCTCATCGCCGCTGCTCTCATCATCACATCGCTGCCACCAACCCACGCACGCTCCCACGGTCACAACACCATTCACGGAACAGGCAGGCGAACAGCAGCTCCACCCACAACAGTTGCAGTCGATTGCAGCAGACACTCCACTTCCACACCACAGCTATCCATGGATTCCGAGGATGAACAGCCTGCTGTGCGGTCGGAAGGCTTCTCCCGTTGCCGCCGCAACACCGACATGGCTGTGGGTCTGGTCGTCGCCATGGGCCTGCTCGTCGCCTACGCTCTGCTCCTTGGTCAGCTGATGGGCGATGATATTGACTCGTCTTCCACGGGCTTTATTGTCATCATCGTCTGCCTCGTCGTCTTCCACCTCGCGACTCTCGTCGGCTGCTGGTACATGTACGCAGTGGGCTACTGCGGCGAGATGTGCGCCTCTCCGGGAGCCGATGCTGAGATCAACTACGTTTACGCCTACTACGACTCGGACACCGACTCGGGCGATGGCACCGGCGACGAAGAATACTCCGCCTCGGACGCCCGCATCATTCTCACCGACTCGAGCTCCTAAAAAGTGAACGTCTCCTCCTCCCCTATCTCTGACTTGATCTCAAACTGCCTCGCCAGCCCGCAGTGCGACTCGCCTCGCCTCCCAACCGGCAGCGAAAACTCCACGACCGGCGCTGCCACCTCCGACCACCCCCACCGCCACCCCTCTCTGCCACCCTCCCCACGCCCACACCCACAGCCCACACATACCCCACCCTCACCCACCCACCCCTTCCATACACACTGTACGTACACCTCTCTCTGACACTCTCTCTGTCCCTCCCTCTCCCCACACTCCCCCCCACCCACCCACATCCTCCCCTTCCCGCCGCTCTCACAAGATTCTACACTCCAGAACGATCATGGCCGACTTTGTGCTGAACGTGGAGGTGTTTGAGAAGCGGATGGGCCGCGTGCTCGAGTCCTGGAGCAAGGACAACACCAATGAGGGTCTGTGGAATGGCGCAGACGTTCTCGTGCTCGCTGCAGGCAAGTCCACTGCGGCGTCGGCTGCCTCCAAGCCGGTCACCATGCAGACCTGGCTGTTTGACGTCGAGCTCCCGGACTGCGTCATCCTTGCCACCTCGGCCAAGGAGCTCACTGTTTGCTCCTCACAGAAAAAGGTGGACATTCTCCGCCAGCTTGCCCGCGACGGCTCGCCGTTCACCTTTGACTTTCTTGTCCGCAACAAGGCCGACGGCAACGCCGCCAACTGGTCCGCCATGCTGGCCAAGATTGCCAACTCACGCCAGGGCTCGCGACTCGGCATCTGCGGTGGCGAGAAGGCCGAGACCTTACTGACGGGCAAGTTTGCCAAGTCTTTCTTTGCTGCTATCCGCGGCGCCGGCGTCCCGCTCGTCGCCATCGACACTGCTCTCTCGGCCGAACTCGTCACCAAGGACGAGGTCGAGACTGCCAACATCCGCAAGGCCGCCGAGCTCGCAGCCGCCGTTGTCAACTCGGTCACCGTCAAGCGCATCGAGGTCGTTCTTGACAAAGGCACCGCAGTCACCCACGCTCAGCTCTCGACCGAGGCTGCCAACGCCTTTACCTCGCCGTCGGCCGCCGGCCTCACCGGCTTTGACGACGAGCTCGCCGACATGAGCTACACCCCGATGATCCAGTCGGGCGCCGACGTCCGGGCCGGTGCCCTGGTGGCGCCCTCGGGCGCGCCGCTTGCCAAGCGCGGCGTCTTTCTTGTCTCGATGGGCGGCCGCTACAACCTGTACAACGCCAACGTTGCCCGCTCTGTCCTGGTCAACGCCACCGACAAGGTCGACGCCTCGTTTGCTATCCTCCGCGCCGCTCACCAGTTCTGCATCTCCGCCGCCACGCCCGGCAAGACTTTTGCTGCTCTCTACGAGGAGACGCTCGCCTTTGTCGAGGCCAAGGAGGAGGGGCTCGGCCGCAAGCTTGCTGCCAACTTTGGCTCGTCCATTGGCATCGAGCTTGTCGAGCCCGACTATGTCCTTGGCCCGTCGTGCACCGCCCGCATCCGCGCAGGCATGGTCCTCAACATCTCGCTTGCCTTTCGCAAGCTCTCGGACAAAAAGTCCAAGCGAGCCGAGATGCGCAAGTTCGAGCTCGCCCTCGCGGACACAGTCCTCGTCGCTCCCGACGGCCCGGTCAACCTCACCGCCGCCGTCCCCTACGAGATTGTCTACGTTCTGGACGACACCGCCGAGACCGAGGCCGCCCGCGCCGCCCGGCTCGCCGAGGCCAAGGCCGCTCTCGACGCCCAGGCCGTCCTCGACGAGCGCCTCCGCAAGCGCGGCTCGGCCCAGACCGAGACCAGCGCCGCCGATGAGCAGCGCATTCGTGACCATCAGTCAGAGCTTGCCCAGAAAACGCTGGAGGAGGCCATCGCCCGCCACTCGGGCGAGGCCGCCGCCCGCGCCTCGAGCACTTCTTCGGCCATCGCCAAGATCAACTCATACCCGACGCCTGCTGCCTTTCCGCGCGCCGCGCGCCCGGACGCCATCTTTGTCGACATCTCGGCTGAGACCGTCTTTCTGCCCATCTACGGCCACGCCGTCCCTTTCCATGTCTCCACCATCAAGTCAGCGTCCAAGTCGGACGAGGGCGAGTACGTGTACGTCCGTTTCAACTTTGTCACACCCACCGCGTCGGGCAAGAAGCGTGCGTTCGAGGACCCCCACTCGATGTTTGTCCGCGAAGTCTCGTTCCGAGTCCCCATGACCCACGCCCGCAACCTCAACACCTCGCTGCGCCACGTCCAGGAGCTCCGCAAGCGCATCGCCGCCCGTGAGAAGGATCGCCGCGAGCGCGCCGACCTTGTCGACCAGGAGCGGCTCCGTCTGCTCAAGGGCCCCATCCCGCGCCTCAGCTCGGTCGAGATCCGCCCGCGCCTCGCAGGCCGCAAGGAGATCGGCGTTCTCGAGGCCCACGCCAACGGTCTCCGTTTCACCTCGCGCACCGGCGCCCGTGTCGACATCATCTACGCCAACATCCGCCACGCCTTTTTCCAGCCTTCAAAGTCGGAGCTCATTGTCCTCATCCACTTCCACCTTCACAACCCCATCATGGTTGGCAAAAAGAAGACCAAGGACGTCCAGTTCCTGCAGATGGCGTACAACGTCGAGCGCAACCTCTCCGGCCGCAACGCTCGCTCCGCCTTTGACATCGACGAGCTCGAGGACGAGCAGCGCGAGCGTCGTGAGCGTGCAAAGAAGAACGCAAACTTTAAGAAGTTTGCAGAGGCCGTCGAGGCCGTCGTCGAGACCAACAAGCCCGACCTCGACCTCCAGTTTGACGTCCCCTACCGCGACCTCGGCTTCCATGGTGTGCCCGAGCGCTCGACCGTCTTCCTCCAGCCGACCGTCAACTGCCTGGTCCACCTCGTCGAGACGCCGTTTGTCGTCATCACTATTGACGACATCGAGATCGTCCACTTTGAGCGCGTCCGCTTCTCGCTCCGTAACTTTGACATGGTCATCGTGTGGAAGGACTACTCAAAGGCCCCGCTCCACATCAACTCGATCGAGTCCAAGTACCTCGACGCCATCAAGGAGTGGCTCGACGGCAACAACGTCAAGTTCTACGAGGGCCAGGCCAACCTCAACTGGACTGCCGTCATGAAGCACATCACCGACGACGTCCCGGGCTTCTTCACCGACGGTGGCTGGTCCTTCCTCGAGGACGACGACGAGGAAGAGGAGGAGGTCATCGCGGACTCGGACGAGTCCGAGTTTGAGCCCTCGGGCGACGACGACGACGACGACGACGAGTTTGAGTTTGAGTCGGGCGAGGGCACAGAGTCATCTTACTCGGCCATCTCAAACCCCGACGACGAGCTCTCCGAGGAGGGCCTCGACGACGAGGCTCTCGAGCGCGAGGCCCGCCGCGAGGACATGAAGCGCTCCAGGCGCGAGCGCGACGATGTCCTTGGCTCTTCCCGCCCCAGCAAGCGATCGAAGCACCGCTAACCACGCCAGTTCTACCCCCACGCACTGCCCTTCCCCGCCTCCCCCCGCCTCCTGCCCGGCAATGTGCTTGCTGCGCGCCAATTCCGTAAACGCGGCTCTTGACAGTCAACGCAAACGTTCAAAATGATCCGCATGTACGTACGGTCCTCCACCCGCCCCACAGCAAATCCCAATACCCACCCCCCCCCCCCCAACCCACTTCCCCACTCCACTCTCCACCATGCAGGCAGAGGACCTCGCGTCATTCCTCCCTTATCCGTTTGCACTCGTCCGCATACCCCACCCGGCACGCATCCCGACACACCTTGGCTAATCCCGGCGTCCGTGAATGACCAGTGTGTAATCATCAACGCTCACTTCCTCGACCTTTTCGACCTTGTCGACGACTTGGTTCTCACGGCTTCTGACTTGGCCGATGCCATCAAGAGCAGCTCCATGGTGTGCAAGACACACAAGGGTGACATCGAGCTCCATCTGGCAAGATGGGAGGCGGGAGACATCCCTACCGTGGCTGTCACCTGCGCCATCCGCGCCATCGACATCACCCGCGGCCCGCTCCATAAGTTCTTTGACAAGTCGCTCGACATGCTCTGCCTCACCAACTACGATGGCTGCTTTGAGATTGTCAACCCGCAGTGGACCGAGGTCCTCGGCTTTTCTGTCGATGAGCTCAAGGCCCGGCCATGCATCGAGTTTATCCATCCGGACGACGTCGCCCCGACAGCCGCCATCGCGTGCGAGCTCAACAAGGGCGACGTCGACGTCGTCAATTTTGTCAACCGCTATGTCACCAAAACTGGCTCGTACCGCACCCTCCGCTGGTCGGTCTCGTCAGACGACACCTACAAGTACTGTGTTGCACGAGACATCACCGACTTTGCCGATCGCGAGGCCAAGCTCGAGGCCTCGGAAGCCCGCCTTCGCGAGGTCCTCGAGGCCACCGGGAACACATACCTCGCCTGCTCACGCTCTGGCAACGTTGTCCAGTGCAACTCGGTCACCCTCAGGCGTTTTGGCTGTGCCGATGAAGCCGATCTAGTTGGCACTCCCATCTTTCAGCTCGTCCCTGCCCTGACGCCGCTGTGGGACGACATCATTGCCGCCTCGGCAACTTGCGCCCGCAACTCGCCGTCCATTGCACGCGTTGGATCGCTCTCGACATTCGACTCGATCGAGGCGAGCATGGAACTTGTCGTCGCCGACGATTCTCTCTTCCAACGTTGGCCAGCGAGCCGGACAACATTGTCGTCACAGGCTGTGAATCTGATCTAGACGTGTCCTCGTCATCGCAATTCCACTCATGCGAGGAAAAGGCCGGCGAGCGCGTTTTTGTTGCTGTCCGCAACGTCGTCGCCCACTATGTTGACCGCTCCGAGGCACCCATCGACGTCATCGTTGGATTTTCCCCCGACACCCCGGACCAGCTCTCCATCTCACTTGTCGACGTCGCCGACCGCCGCCGCGCCATCTTGGAGGCTTCTGCGCGCCGCAAGCTGGTGGACGCTCTCGCGGCAAAGTCTCACTTTCTGGCCAACATCTCTCACGAGCTCTGCACCCCGCTCAACGGCATCCTCGGCATCGTCTCGCTCCTTCTTGTATCGCACCTTCCATCCAGAGTCCACGACAAGCTTGTCCTTGTTGATCGCTCCGCTCGCGCCCTCCTCAACCTCCTCGAGGATCTGCTCACATTTGCCCGCGTCGATGCTGGTGCGCTCACCCTTCAGTACGTCGACTTTGATCTGAGCACTCTCCTTGACGACATCCGCGTCATGTTTGAGGCTGCAAAGCCGGGCGTTGACTTTTCGATTCGCCTCCCGCCCGCCATCCCTCCCGCGCTCGTCGCCGACTCGGGCCGCATCCGCCAAGTCCTCCTCAACCTTGCCTCCAATGCTGTCAAGTTCACCTCCTCTGGCTCGGTCTCTGTCGACGTCGCGCTCGACGCCCTCGATCCGGGCACCTACCTTCCAGGCTTGCCACCTCAGACCGCCGATCCTGCCGCAAGCCAGGCGTTCCACCCCAAGCCACCCGACTCGGCGCCGCGCACCGCCACAGACGACTCGGTCGAATGGAAACGCGTCGTCCCGGCCAAGCTCACATTCATCGTCTCGGACACAGGTATTGGCATCGCGCCCGACGTTGTGCCACGCCTCTTCTCTCCGTTTGTTCAAGCCGATGACTCGATCACACGCAACTTTGGCGGCACCGGCCTAGGTCTCGCCATCGTCAAGGAGATTACCTCGCTCTGCGGGGGGAGCGTAGACCTAACTTCGGCCCTCGACGACGGCACCACCATTACAGCCTCGTTTGTCGTCGGCATGGTGCCATCGCCCGAAGACCAGCTCGCACGTACGCTAGGTGACGTCTCGCTGTTGACCTCGGCGCTCACCATCGTCGTCGGCTCGTGCGCGCGGCTTACAGAAGCACTTCTCGCTCCGCCGATCTCAAGCAAGTCGGTCACGACCATTGCCGATCCTCTTGACGCCCTTGTGGCTCTCCGAGACGCGCCCCAGCCTTACGACCTCATTGTTATTGCTCTCGACAACGTCGCCGCCTTTCTCTCGCCGCTCACCTGGTACGATGCGCCGGCCCTTCTCGCGGACTCGCGCATCCTCTGCCTAGTCTCGAACACAGCTCTCATGACGGCGGCCGACTACGCCGCCACATCGTGTTTGCCATCGGTCGACTGCCTCGCTGTTGTCAACAGCGCCGAGCCTGTTGTTCAGCTTCTTACTGCTGCGCTCGATCTCCTCGGCCCGTCCACAAAGCTCAACCAGAGTTGTTCGAGTGATGTTGACCAGACTTTGCATGACTTGACGCCCTCGTATCTCGCTCTCGGCTCCAACGTGTTGTTGACCGACATGTCGAGCTACTCTGGTGACAATCAGCTCGGGACGTCGCCTGAACAAGACATGCCGGCCGAGACGCCAGGGCTGCGTTGCGACGTCGACTTCATGCCGACGTCAAAACTCCGTTTACACCGCAAGTCGTGTACACTCCATCGCTGGCCACTCCTCTTTCTGCCTCTCCTCACGTTGTCCTACCTAGTGTCGCGCCCGAAGAGCGGCTTTGGTCGCTTGTCGACGCGGTGACCAGTCCGGTGCCGGCCATCGCGCGAGTCGTCACCCTTGTCATGCATGCCGATTCCGGCGAGCGAGCCCGGCTCATTGCCCTCTTTCAAGCCGAGGGCGTGACATGCATTGACGGTGCGACAAGTTCAGCGCAGGCCATGCTGCTCTCGGCGCGCGCCGCTTCTGGTAACCCTGCACCGCAACTGGTGGTTCTTGACCTCGACTCGGGTGGTCCTTCGCTGCCGACGATCAAGCTCGCTGCCATGCTGCGGACGTCGAGTGCTGCACTCCCGCGGAACCAGCATCAGCTCATTGTCGCGCTAGGAGCGAACGATGACTCACTCTCGCCCGACGCGGCGAGTTCCTTCGACGCCGTCGCCGCATCGCCGCTCGATCCGCCCACGGCACGCTCCCTCCTCCGCTACGCCATCGCCGCCCATGCCCTTTCATCGCTTGATGACCTCATGGCGTTCTCGACCATCAAAGAGCCGATCAATGTCCTTGTAGTCGACGATATGGAGATCAATCGCATGGTTCTCTCGGCGCTCCTCGCCGAGCTCTCCATCGACGTTGCCGAGGCTGCCAACGGCGACGAGATGCTCGCCCACATCCGTCGCAACTCCAGCTCACCTGACCTCGTCCTCCTCGACTGCCACATGCCGGTCAAGGACGGCTTTACTGCAGCACGGGAGCTCCGCGACTCAGAGTCGGACTTGCCCGAGTCAAAGAGCTCCATCCCAATTTCAGCCGTCACCGCAGACTCGAACGCCACCGCCCGCGCCCTCGACGCTGGCATGGACGTGTGCCTCTTCAAGCCAATCACCTTGCAGACCGTCCGCGCGGTTGTCGCCTTTCTCGTCGATCGCGCTCTGCCGCCCGATACCAACCCGGCGCCTCTTCCGCCGCCGCTCATTTCCGCTATCAGCAACGCCGTCCACTCACTACCCCGTGTCTCGCAAGGCGAGCTCGACCCTTTGCTCGTTGCCCTTGTTCTTGCCCGCCAGCCGGCCGCCGCTGCCGCACTCCGCATCGCCTGGGAGCTCGCCTGCTTGTGGCCACGCGCACCGCTCATTGCATCGCTGCTCATCAAGCACAAGCTCATCGTCCACACACCCTCGCCATAGCCGCCCACGTCACAATGAACCAATAACCACACACGCTGCAGTGCCGACGACTCCGACCGCCACGCCAACCACGCCCCACGATAGCACCGCTGACTCGGCCGACGGTCCAGCCTCGTCCATCATGGCCGTCAGCCGGAGAACAGCGAGGACACCGACCAGTGCTGCGCTCTCTGTCCACTGTGCCACTGCGTCGCGCAGCGGATTGAGGTGGATGTGTACGCCGAGCGAGACGCCAACAATAGCCACAAGCACCCCACCCACAAACACAGACTTCCGCGGGATGAGCGCCACGCTGCACGCGATCGCCACTCGCCGCACGAGCACAACTGCTTCGAACCACCACGCTTCATCACGGTAAGGCTCCCAAAGAAAGGCCAGTGGATGCTCGTCCTCGTCCTCGCCGTGTCTGCCCCGCAAACTGCTCAACAGCTCCCGCCGCTCGGACTCGGTCTCGACATGGATCATCTTTCGCGCTCGTGCTGACAAAACGATGCGCGAGACCCAAACGACGCCGCAGCAGACGGCAACGAGGACAGCCACCGCCGAGCCTGCCAGCGCTATCTGCGCATGGCTCCCGCACCGGATCCACGGCGTAGCATCGAGGTACTCGTACGACGAGCCGGGGGTCGGGTCTGGCACGCACGAGACTTGCGCCAGCGAGCGCTGGACAAGCGGAAAGACAAAGAGGTAGGCTAGCGTGCCAGCGCCGCGCAAGCCGCGCTCATACACCTGCTGCGATCGCGCCATCGCCGCGAGCGCACCGCACACTAGCGCCGGGCTTGTGGCGATGGCGACAAAGACCCAAAACTCGCCGACCGGCCCAACTTGCAGACAAGCGAGACCAGTGAGTGTGAGCGATGCCCGTTCGAGTATGCCGTGTAGCGTCTTGAGCGCGGTAGACGACTCGAGAGAGCCGTCAGATGCTGCGAGCACAACCGCGAGCGACTGCAGAAACACGACCGTGGTCTTGAGCACAGCCTCGGCGCGCAACGCGCGCGAGCTCTTGTCGGCCACCGCGTACACCGTGAGCGCGACGAGGCCGATGGCGAGCGCAGCCACTTCCCACGCCTCGGCGAGGCCAAAAACCGCAAGAAGCACAACAACGCCGGCTTCAACCGCAAGCGAGGCCGCCACAGCCTGGATCCGCCCGGTGTGAACTCTCAGCCGGCGCCAAACTGACTGCTCTGGAAGCTGGGTCGAGCCCATCAGCAGCGCAAGCGGCCGGACAGACTCGCGCTGCACAAGCACGTAGCCAGAGACAAGGCCAAGAACAAGCAGGCCGAGGACGCCGAGAACAACGCCTGTGCCGCGCGGCCCAACCTTGCACCGAGCGCACTTGCCCTCGGGGCCCGACGCAAAAAGCCGGGCATGCAGCGGGCACAGAGCCGATCGCCGGTTCCGTGCGCGCACCTGCCCTCGCCCATACACGCGTTCTCGTCGGGACACTTGATGAAAAAGGCCACGTCGCCTGTCGGCGCATAGCCCTCGGCAGCTGTCGGCATGCTGAGGCCGCCAGCACACTCGGCGCCGGTCGGGCATGGGCTGCACACCGTTGCCGGCAGCGACGGCGGCCAGTACTGCGGTTCACAACCGCAATGCGGTGGGGTGAGTCGCGCGCCGGCCACGATCCGCGCGTTCGCTGGACATCCGCATACCATGCTCCCGTCCGGCTCCACGACTGGCTCCACGCCGCCGTAGCACCGCGAGACAACAATGGTTAGTTGCGAGGTCTCGAGCGAGGTCCTGCTCGGAAGAAGCGCGACTTTGATCAGCGCTGCGGCGCCAAGCGCAGATCGCTCCACCGCCGCAGCGCCGAGACTGGCAAAGCTGGTTTGGTTGCTAGCGACGACGGCGCGTGCCGCTCCGCCGCTCGGCACCACACCGCCGCTCAACTCGGCGGCGACCACAAGGCTTTCGTCGACCACATGGTTGCTCGCACCGTCAGTCAGTACAACCTGGAAAGCGAGCGGGAGCGGAAAGCCCGACGGGATGGTGGTTCCGTTCATGGCGAGCGCGTCGCGTGTCCAAAAATGGCGGTTGCCGGCGTGGCCACCGTGTCGCCGTAGCCGACGGCCGACGCCAGACGTGCCAGCACTCGCGCGTCGTCGCCGATCACAACCTTGTCCAGCGTGAGTGGCACGCCATCGGCGCTGGGACAGGCAAAAACGGCACCGCCACCGATGGACGCAACGTTGCCGGCGCCCGTCACCGAGTCGCCAAACCCGAATCGCACCCCGCAGGTAAAAAAGAGTGCGCCATACGATGCGGTACTGCTGTTGATGACGTCGCGCTCAAAGGTGGTGGCGGTAAACGCTTTGCCGTAACCTGTCGGCCGAATGTTGGACACCGCCGGGAACTGGAACAGCGCCGCCGGCGAGCCCAGGTCCGGGCCAATGACCGCGACGAGGCCGCCAAACATGGCAGAGTTGTCGAGGTACATGTTGTCCTCGGACATGAACATCCCGCCTTGAAGAAAGAAGACGCCGCCAAAGCCATAGGCGGTATTGCTGACCATGCGCGAGTACGCGAGCATAGCGATGCCGTCCGGTCCGAGGTAGAAGACGCCGCCAAACTCGGATGCGGCGCAGTGCTCAAAGAGACTCTCGCTGGCAGTGATCCGCCCGTTGCTCTCGACGTAGAACGCGCCACCCAAGACTGACGACACGCCCGAGACAATACACTTGCTGAGGGTAACCCGCGAGAAATGAGCCGCGTTGTGAGAGTTGATGTACACCAAGCCGCCCTTGGAGCCAGCCACGATGGAGTGAAACTCGGTTCCGCGCGCGTCGAGGGTGGCGGAGCCATCCATCGACGCCACGGCACCGGCGCCGGGCGCGAGGAACGACGCCGGCGACGCGAGCGCGGCCTTGTTGTCAAATGAAGTGACAAGCGCGTTGTCCAGCCGCAGCAGTGCATGGCTGCCTGAGAGCCGAAAGGCCGACGAGCCATAGACGGAGCCGGTGGCGACGCCTGCGCCGGCGAGCGTCATGTTGCTCAGCAGAAGCGCCTTTTGCGATCCGATCGAAAACAAGACGCCATGCGGACTCCCATCGTCCGCGAAGCAGTTGATGCCCGATGAGGCACGGCCGGTGCCGAGGATGAGCGCCGACCTGCTGATGTGCCAGTGGGTTGTGTGCCGGCAGGTGGAGGCAAAGGTGTCGAGAACAAGAGTGTCACGCGCGCAGCGCGAGGCAGCACTGATGGAAGTGGCGAGGCAGGCGAGCGTCTGCGGCTGGCCACCGCACGCGCCGGTGCCCGGGGCACGGTCAGCGTCCGTGGCTCAAAGTTGTGCTCTGCCCACGGTGAGGGCCACTGGAGGATGCCGTAGATGTTGGCGTCCGAGGCGACCAAAATGTCGTGGTATCCGTTGCCGTCGATGTCGAGGACTTTGTGGCGGGTGACGAGACTGTCGGTGGCGAGGGCAACAACGGCCGATGGCTGCTGGACAAAGTGCCCGCGCGGTTCTTGCGAGTACACCATGAGCAGCGAGGAGCAGAGGACAAAGACATCGACCAGCGCGTTCTGTCCGCCAGCCTCGGCCGCCAGCTGACCCATGCCCACAAGACTGCAAGACGCTGGTTCCGCTGTCGGCAGCGTGAGCTGAGCGGTAGGCGGGGAAGTCGGTGTCTGTGAGAGAAAGACAAGCACAACGCTGCGCGAGCTGGCGTCGGTGGCGAGTAGCGCCGCGTCGTCGTAGGCAGTGCCGAGGAGTGAGCCGACGGCAACATCGACTAGCAGCTGATCGTCGAGGATAGGCGCATGTACAGCTGCGCTTGTCCACTTTCCACCGCCCGTGCCCGGGTTGGTGGCAATGGCGAGGAGATGCGGACTCGGCGGAGCAGTGACCACCAGCAAATCGGTGAGCCGCGGGAGCGTCGACGGGAGCGTGACCGGCCTGAGGCCGGGCGGCGCCACAGCAAGCTCCGGCAGTACGGACGAGAGGGTGTAGGTTTCAGTTGGGTGGGCGGAGTTTGGCACGGCAAGAAGAACTCGGCTCGGTGCAGTGGGCCCGGTGTGGCCGACAACAACAAAGCCTGGCAGGGGAGTGTCGGTAAAGGCAAGGCCGTAAACGGTGCCGGCATCAAGGGCAAACTGCGAGGCGTCGGTCATAGCACTCGGCGGAGCCCACGTTCCGCCGCCGGTGTTGAGCAGCATGTAGAGCGATGAAAGCTCGCCGACGAGCGCGAGGTCGACAACCGAGCACACCACGTCAAGGTCGCCGTCGCCGTCGATGTCTGAAAGCGTGGCGGTGACAAGCGGCTGGGCGAGGACAGCTGGGGCCGGAAGCGCCGGACCGACGACACGCGACCACGCCGGGATGTCTGGGTCTGCGGCGTTGGCGGCTACAGCGTTGATAAAGGTGATGATGGCGCCGCCGGCAAAGGCGACAATGTCCGGCTCGGTGTCATCGTCGATGAGGCCGGTCACCCACGAGACGCCGGTAGGGTTGGCCTGCAGCGGCTCGCCGGGGAGCGCAAGAGCGAGAAAGGTGCGCGGGGTGGGGCCGGACGGTGGCCGAGCGGTGCTTCCGCAGAGACCGCCATTGCCGCATGCGTGAATAAAGGCGAACGGCGTGGTGGAGACGTTGCTCCCGCGCGGCGCAGTGACCATGCCGACAGCATCAATGTGGCTGTTGGCGTAGAGCCGTGAGAGGCCATAGATCGGAGCCGGTGAGCCGGGCGCGACGTCAATACGGGCCGAAAAGACCGTTGCCGGTGTCGTTGTTGAAAGCCCGAGCTTGGTGCCAAAGATAACTGTCGGATGGCCGTCCTCGGTAGTGTCCAAGAAGCGATGGAGAGAACCGAGTCAAAGACGCCGACACCGGGATCGCCCGACGACACGTGGGCCGTGCGGAAGAGGCCCGGTGAGCCGTTGGAGAGAACAAGCAACACCACGCCCGAGTCGACCCGGTAGTTGTTGTAGCCTGCCGCAACAGCATCGCCGAGCCCGTCGGCATTGATGTCGTCAAGCGCCGCCATAGCCGTGAACAGCGGCCCGAGTGGGTCGCTCTTGGGATAGAGTCTGATCGGCCGAAATGGGGTTGGCGAGATCGGCGAAGCGTACGCAGTCACAACTCCGTTGTGGAGCACAAGCAGGGTGTACATGTCAACAACGCAGACACCAGTGAACGACTCGTCAATGTAGGTGTACGTCGAGATGTTGACTACCGCAGCTGGCGCTGGAAAAGGGTGCGTGAGGACGACCGCATGGGCCACAGACTCGCCGGCAGCCGGATCGACACCGGCTGTGGCCAGAACGAGCGGGAACGTCGGCTTGATCACAGGCATGGCGCTCAGCATCTGCCCAGGCATAAAGAGCGAGGAGATAAAGACGGCCGGTGCGGTAGAAGGCGGAATGAGCTCGACGGCCGGTAGGAACTGGTTCACGTCCGACGTTCCGCGGAGAACCACAAGCGTTCCACTCGCAGCCTGCCCAGCACCGACACCGGTGAGCTCTGCCACGACAATGTCAATCCAATTGTCAGAGTCAACAAAGGCCAGAGTCATTGATCCGAACGCCTTGTCCTCCTGTGACGGCCTGGCAATGACGGTCGTCGCGTTCCGCTCCAAGTCGTAGGCAGTGAGCACGACAGCCCACGAGCAGTATGCCACCCAAGATGACGACGCTGATGGTAGCCGCTGATCACGCGATGTGCACGATGGCATCGTCGGCAGCTGGAAGACATCTTTTCCCGTCACAGTCAGTGCTGGCAGCGGATCGAGTTGTATCGGCGCAGTTGAGCATGGTGGGAGGCCGGAGGTGAGGCGGGTGGGTAGGGTGGCGGTGGTGCTGAGAATGAAAAGGAGGAGAAAGAAGAAGACACACATGGGGATGTGGGTGGGTGTGCCGGTAACTGGGGACATGTGCTGGTGGTGGCGTCGTGTGGAGCCGGTTGGGCTTGAATGCCGACGGGTCCTCGGGCGGGCCGCAGGCAGCACGTGACAGGTGCCCCCGCGCGGCGGTTGGAGCAGAAAATAACACTCAGGAACAACAGGAAGCGTTTGATTACGTCACAGGAGTACATGCTCACCTTGTGATTACAGGCTGCCGACCATCAGCGAGGGCCAATCGGGCGGGGGAGGAACTGGTGTGGGCAGAGTGCGGGCTGGTGGTGGGTGTGTAGATTGATGTGGGGCGAGGTCAATGGTCCGGCAAAAACCTCAGCTCCAGGCGCTGCTTCGGAACCCAGGTCACCAATCAGCGCATGCTATGTGCTACAGTAGTGTTGTGCTACAGTTCTTTGGCGCCATGGTATAGCAACATGTAGATCGCGTGCTGTTCTCTGGTGCGAGCTAGAGTCTGGGCGGCCATCGTACATGGGTATGGTATAGTGCAGCAAGCACAGAAAGAGAATCGCAGATCAGCACAATCACGTTGTTGTACCTTCAACTTTAAGCACAAAATAGGCGACGATCAACAGCGCTCGTACTGGAAACAGCGCGGATGATCCCCCCTCCCCCACACAACGGCATGAAGGAACACATCGCAGCGTATCCACAATCATACATGCCCAGAGGGCCACGGCTCAAGCCCCCTTTCCTCCTCATGTGGCTCAAAGTGAGCCCCCTCCCGAAAAAAAAGCCCCCTACACGAAGAAAGTCACGCGTGTCACCAAGCACCTGCAACCCCCCTGGTCCCTCCTCCCCCCCCGTCCGCACTCCCTCCTCCTTCCTCCACCACAACTCCCCTTACCTCCACCAAACCCCTCTCCTCCTCCTCCCTCCCCCCCCCCCCCCTCCTCCAGCCCACCCGTACGCCTCCCCCCCCCCTCTTCCTCCCCCCGCTTCTCCGCCACGCAACCCCCTCATTGTTCTGTTCGAACACGCCGCACCACTCACAAAACCGGCCCTCCTTCCCTCTCTCACCACACAGCCCACACCACACCACACCACTCCACCTCCACCATGGCTACTCCAATCACCTCCTCATCTCGGGCGAGCATCTCTCGACGCTTGGCCACCTTTGGCGAAAGTGACGACGACATTGACATCTGCAGCAGCTACGACGACGGCTCGGTCGTGGGCGACGTGCCCGAGTCGTCGACCTTTGTCGTCTCGCTTTCAAACGCACCCACTGGCGCGACGACGGCGGGTGGTACGGGATGGACGCCGCCGCCGCCGCTGCCGGCCACCGAGCTGAGTGGCGAGCAGGTGGCACGGCTGATGGCCCGGGCCGAGGACGATGATGCATCGGGCGCAGGGCCGAGCAACGACAACGGCGACGTCCAGGAGTTCAACCAGCGCGAGAAGACTCTGCCCACACCCAAGACCGGCGACGTCATCGAGCTCGATCTCTTTGCCCCGCAGCCCGACGGCGCGCCTCAGCAGGAGCCGGTCTCGGAGGAAGAGATGGCTGCCCGCGCCAAGGCGCTCGCCGGCGACGTCACCATCCTGAGGTACTACCCCGAGGGCAGTACCGCGGCGCGCGGCCAGTCCAAGACCGTCACCAACCTCGCTATCACCTTTAACCAGCCGATGGTTGAGCTTGGCTCCATCGATGCGCAGGACGCGGTTACTCCGGCCGTGCTTGACCCACCGTGCACGGGCGCCTGGCGCTGGACCGGAGTCACCACCCTCCAGTTTGTGCCCGACACCCGCTTTGCCTTCTCCACCACCTACACCGTCTCCATCCCCGCAGGCACCGCCTCGGCGCTTGGAAACATGCTCCCGGACGACTTTAGCTTCAGCTTTACCACCAACACCCTCGTTCTCCAGCACTCGGTCCCGCGCTCCTCGACTCTCCGCTCAAACGTGGTCCAGTCGCTCCGCCCGCGCATCCTCCTCCAGTTTGACCAGGCCGTGGACCCGGAGGCCATCCTCGCCTCCTCCTCCATCACCGCCAACAACGCGCCGTACTCTGGCACGCTCACCCTCTGCTCCGACTCGCCCGAAATCCTCGTCAAGAACCCCGACTTTGAGTGGGCCATCCGCGGCCTCCGCTCCCGCAACGCCCTCGACCACATGGTCGTCTTTGACCTCTCGGACGATCTACCCACCGACGCCGCCATCGCGCTGGTTGTCGCCGCGGGCGCGTCCTCGGCTGAAGGCCCCAACACCACACCCGCGCCCATCACCATCGCCTTCCACACCTACCCGCCGTTCTCCGTCATTCAGCCGTCGACCTCGCCCGGCTCCCGGCCTGGCGCCACCTGGATGGTCCGCTTCACCAATCCGATCGACTACACCACCCTCCGCAAGGACCTCATCACCATCGAGCCGCAAGTCGAGTTCTCGGTCCAGGTCCACGAGCACTCGGCCACCTCGATCTCCATCGTCAACTCCTCGACCAAGAACACAACCTACACCCTGACTATTGCTCGTGACCTCGCCGACATTCACGGCCAGGCCCTCACCAACAACACTGTCACCATCCGCGTCGGCAAGCCGTACCTCTGCGGCTCGGTCTCGGGCCCCACCGGGATGGTGACACTCCAGGCAGCCTCGGGCGACCCGACCGTCTTCCCGGTCGTCGTCTACAACTTTACTGCCATTCGTGTCCGCATCTTCCATGTCGAGCCCAACGAGTACCTCTCCTCGCCACTCGTCTCCACCTACAACTACTTTCACCCCGAGCGCGAAAACTTGCTTGACATCGGCAAGAAGGTCGAGGACTACGAGGTCGACCTCGAGGACGCCGAAGAGAAGCCGCTCGACTACGTCGTCAATCTCGAGCCATTCCTCCAGCACCCGTCGTCGAACACCGGCCAGCTGTACGTAGTTGTCGAGCCCACCGTCGCCGCCTGGAAGACCCTCAAGTCGCGTGTCCGCTACGGCAGCGCAGAGTACCGCTACCGGCCCATCGCCCACGCCTGGGTCCAGATCACAAACATCGCCCTCGCTGCACTCACCTACTCGGCCACGACGCCCAAGACCCTTGTTTGGGCCTCGCAGCTTGCCACGGGGATCCCGCTCTCAGACCTTGCCGTCTCGCACCTCGCCTCCCGCGGCTCGTCGTCAGGAACGCAGCTCGGGTGCACCGACCCCGCGGGCGTCACCATCTACGACGGCAGCATCTCCAACTCGGGCATCGTCGTCGCCTCGCACGCTGACGACCTTGCCTTTGTCACTGACGTCCGCGTTTCACGGAGCGCCCCGTCCGAGCCGCGCTGGTACGTCTTTGACGACCGTAAGCTCTACAAGCCAAACGAGGTCATCACCGTCAAGGGCTTTCTCCGCCACGTTCATATTGACGTCGACGGCGCCATCGCGCCAGACTACGTCCGCGGCTCCATCTCATGGACTGCGTACGACTCGCGCGGCAACAAGATCGCCGACTCGGCCAGCCAGGGCCCCATCGCTGCCGACGCCGACGGACCGCGTCTCGACCCGTGCCTCACCCTCTCTTCCTACGGTGCCTTCCACTTCCAAGTGGCCCTCCCCGACAACCTCAACCTCGGCGATGGCCGCATCGTGATCAGCTACTCCGGCTCGTCTAGCCTGCCGGCGACATCGTACACCCACTCCTTCTCGTGCCAGGAGTTCCGCCGCCCCGAGTACGACGTCTCGGCCTCGTTCGAGTCGCTCGGCCCACACATCTCGTCCAACGCAGCCGCCGGATCCGTCACCGCCCTCGTTTCGGCCCAGTACTTTGCTGGTGGCGCGCTCGCTGACGCCGAGACCCGCTGGGAGGTCACCGCCAAAACCGGGAGCTACACCCCGCCGCACCGCTCCGACTACACCTTTGGCCGCCAGAACAAGTGGTGGCTTCGCCCGTGGTGGGAGCCGGCGCCGTCGCACTCGGCCAGCCTTGGGACGTGGAATCATACCGAGGCTACCACCGACGCCGACGGCGAGCACAGACTCCTCATCGAGTTTGCCGGCAATGACGTCCCGCCGGCGCCTATCACTCTCGAGGCCGCCGCCACCGTCATCGACCTCAACTATCAGGCTCGCTTCGCCAAGTCCACCACTCTTCTCCACCCGTCTTCGCTCTATGTCGGCTACAAGGTCAAGGCATGGGGCACCGCCGGCGAGCCGCTTGCCATCGAGCTTGTCGTCGTCGACGTTGACGGTGAGCTCATCGCCGGTGTCGGCATTGACCTCGAGGTCACTCACTCGGTCACCACCCTTGTCGAGGATGCCGAGTCCGGCATCGCCTCCTGGGCCACCACCGAGTACTCGGACGTGCTTCACTTGGTCTCGCCCGACGGCGCCCCGCTCGTCACCGACTACTTGCCCACCCATGGCGGCTCGTACTCGTTCACCGCCACCGTCACCGATGCCGCCGGCTCGCTCAACGCCTCCTCGTTTGCCGTCAACGTCCGCGGGAAAGAGCCCAAGCGCGGCGCCACCAACTCGCGCGTCGAGGCCGGCGAGCTCCTTCTCATCGCTGACAAGCAGTGCTACTCGGCAGGCGACACTGGCGAGCTCCTTGTCCAGGCTCCGTTCACTGACGGCGAGCTTCTCCTCACCTTTACCGCCGACGGCCTCCAGGCCACCCTCCGCGAGCCGCTCATCGACGGCGCCGCAGTCGTGCCCTTTTCCGTCGACGCCTCGTGGTTGCCCAACTTTGAGATCCGTGTCGACGCCGTTGGCACCGAGCCGCGCCTCACCGCCCTCGGCCAGCTCAACCTCGCCGCCCCGCCCAAGCCCGCCCTCGCCTCGGGCAAGCTCAACTTGCAGGTCGACAAGCGCGCCCGCTCGCTCGACCTCGTCGTCTGCCCCGCTTCAGACTCGATTGCTCCGGGTTCAGAGACCTCGGTCTCTGTCGCCTGCAACCACGCCGATACCGGCGCCCCGGCGGAGGGTGTCGAGGTCACCCTTGTCGTTGTCGACGAGGCAGTCCTTGCCCTCACAGGATACAAGCTCTCCGACCCGGTCGAGACCTTTTTCACCCGGCGCTCCACCGGCGAGTCCAACTCGACATTTTCCCACGAGTCGGTCCTCCTCCTCTCCGAGGAGGACCTCGAGCGGTTCCGGACCCAGGCCCAGTCGGAGCTCGCTGACAACGAGGCCTCAGCCTCGGCCATCATGCCTGCGTCCAAGGTGAAGAGGAAGAGGTGTTGCAGCCGCAGCTGCGACTGCGACACCGGCTGTGCTCGCAATGCAATGTGCTGCGAGGCCTGCTGCGCCCGCTCCTGCGCCGTGCCGGCCATGATGAACTGCATGCCGCAAGCCCGCGGGATGTGCGCAGTGGACGACTCGTCTGACGGCGACGACTTTGACGACGACGACAACGACGACTGCCTCGACTCCACCGATAACGCACCCACCGCCGACGATGACGCCGCCGAGCTTGCCGAGGGCGCCGCCAAGGTCCGGGTCCGCACCAAGTTTGACGCCCTTGCTCACTTTTCGCCGACCTCGGTCACCGACGCCAGCGGCCGCGTGGAGCTCACCTTTACCGTCCCCGACTCGCTCACCCGCTACCGGATCTGGGCCATTGCTGCCACCGACACCCGCTATGGACTCGGCGAGAGCAAGGTCACCGCCCAGCTTCCGCTCATGGTCCGCCCCTCGCCGCCGCGGTTCCTCAACTACGGCGACTCGGCGGTTGTCCCGGTCGTCCTGCAGAACCAGACGTCCGACGAGCTCAAGGTGTACATCGGATGCAGCACGAGCAACCTCGAGCTCGCGCCCGGCTTTGCCGGCGGCTACGTCGCCCTCCTTGCCCCTGGACAGCGCGGCGCGCTCTCGTTCCCGGTTGCCACCGCGGGCGCCGGGACTGCCCGCCTCCAGTGGGTTGCCGCCGCCGGCGACTTTACCGACGCCATCCAGAAGACCGTCCCGGTCTTCACCCCGGCCACCTCGGAGGCGACCGCGACCTACGGCGACACAGAGAATCCCGAGGGTCTCCTAGCCTTTGACCTTCGCCCGCCGCTCGACGCCATCCCGCACTTTGGCGGCGCCCAGGTCTCGCTCACCTCGACCGCCGTCGCCGCTCTCACCGACGCCTTCATCTACCTGCACAACTACCCGTACGAGTGCTGCGAGCAGATTGCCTCCAAGCTCCTCGGCATCCTCCCGCTCCTCGACGTGCTTGAGGCCTTTGACGCCGACGACATCCCCAGCCGTGCCGCGCTACAGGCCTCGGTGTCCAAGGACATGAAGCTCCTCGCACGCCGGCAAAAGTCGTCGGGTGGCTTTGGCTACTGGAACGACCGCGCCGATCCGTATGTTACCTGCCATGTCGCGCATGCGCTTGCCAAGTGCGTCGAGCGCGGCCTCGACGTGCCGGACAACCTCGTCTCGCGCACCATTCGCTACCTCCAGGACATCGACAGCCACCTTGCCCACTGGCCGTTTGTTTTGTACTCGCTCAAGACGCTCAACGGCTTCCGCGCTTACGCCGCCTTTGCGCTCACCCGCCTCGGCGTCGACTCGGGCCGTCGCGCCGCCGAAGTCTTCCGCGCCCACCCGATCCACGAGTTCTCGCTCGAGGCGCTCGGCTGGCTCCTCGTTGCTCTCTCGGTCACTTCGGTCGGCGGGATCGACGACCCCAAGGCCGCCATTCTCAAGCACCTTGCCGGGCGAGTCAACGAGACTGCTCAGACTGCGTTCTTTGTCTCGGACTACGGCGACGAAGGCGCGTACGTCATGCTCCACTCGAACCGCCGGACTGACGCCGTCCTCCTCGAGGCCCTCCTCGAGGCCGAGCCGGACTCGGACCTCATTGTCAAGGTCGCCAAGGGCCTGCTTGCCCACCGCCGTGCCGGCAAGTGGCGCAACACCCAGGAGAACGCCTTTTGTCTCGTCGCTCTCCACAAGTACTTTACCGTCCGTGAGGCCGAGGTCCCCGACTTTGCTGTCCACCTCTGGCTCGCATCGGAATTTGCCGGTACCGCTGCCTTTGCCGGGCGCACAACCGATACCCTCGTCGGCACCGTGCCCATGGCCAAGCTCCTCGACTCGGCCGCAGCCTCAGACCGCGACGGACTCACTCGGCTCATCGTCGAAAAGTCCGGCCCTGGCCGTCTCTACTACCGCATCGCAGTCGACTACGCTCCCGCCGCGCTCACTGTAGATGCTCTCGACCGCGGCTTTACGGTTGCGCGCGAGTACGTTGGTGTCGACTCGCCCGATCACGCCGTCCGCGCAGACGACGGCTCGTGGCGCATCGCTCTGGGCGAGAAGATCCGCGTCCGCGTCTATATGCGCACCACCCAGCGCCGCTACCATGTGGCACTCGTCGATCAGCTTCCTGCGGGCTTTGAGGCTCTCAACCCGGCCCTCAAGGGCACGCCCGAGGTCGAGCTCAAGAACCTGCCTGCGCCCGCCGGTGCGGCCTCGGGCAACGGAGCAACTACGGCGTCCCGCTCCATCTTTGCCTGGCGCTGGGTCGACCCGCTTCGTTGGTTCGAGTTCCAGAACCTCCGCGACGAGCGCGCCGAGGCCTTCCGCTCGCTCCTCTGGGAGGGCAACTACGAGTTCCAGTACATCGTCCGCGCCACCACCGCCGGCTCGTTTGTCGTCCCGCCGGCCAAGGCCGAGTGCATGTACGAGACCGAGATCTTTGGCCGCTCTGCCTCTGGCCGCGTCACCATCGCGTGATGCTAGCCCCGCCCCGGCACGCGTGCATGCCACTCGCTACTTTCATACTCCCAACTACTCAAACAACTGTCATCACACACACACACATATCATTCCTTCCCAGCCCCTGCACAGGTCCGGCCACTCTGCCACACCGCCACACGCGCACGCGCACGTCACCCCACTCCCAAAACCTCACTCCCCACCCATGTACCACGTTCTCATCCTCCTCATCCTCCTCACGCCCACCACGCCCACCACCCCCCCGCCCCCTCCCTGCTCCACCTCATCAACTGCGTTCTCGCCGCTTCCTCGCCACTCACCTGCCCACCCTCTGACAAGCCCACCGCTGGCGTCATGCACGCCCGCAAAGAACATGATTTTCTGCGCCTGGCCAGATCGCGTCATCGCCTACCTTCCGTCATCAAACGCTACCGTTGAAGTGGTATCAGCGCCAGATCTAGAACTCCAGTTCTTTGCAGTCCTTGTCGCTCATCTCAACAACGACACATGGCCTGATCTCCTACTCGCGCTCCGTCCATCTAGCTCACATGGCCCAGGTTCACTGAGAGTCATGATGGGCTCGCCTGTGGCTACCGTCTTTGGTCCTCTCTCCTCGTTTATCCCCGGGAATCCGCTCATCGTCGGCAATGCCCCGTTTGCCCAACAGGCCATCGGCGGGCCGCGGCTACAGGATGCGCCTGCCTTTCCGCTCCTCCTCTCCACCGTTGTCATTGCTGCGGCGCCCAACAGCTCCATCAGTTCGACAAAGGTGTACGCTGTGACGCTCCAGGCCCCGCTGCCTGCTCCACCCTCGGTCACACTCCTCTACTCGTTCAGTGGCGATGTCAATGAGTGGATCTCCACCACTGTCCTCGACACCACCGCTGTGGTGGCCATCGGAGGCACCACGCCGTACGTCCTCTCGTCGCCGCTCAACCCGACCCCGTTTGCGCTCACTCCAGTCCTCCCGCAGGCGCCATCGAGTGGCACCCAGTTCAACACTCTGGTCTCCGGCGACCTCAACGGCGACGGCCTCGACGACTTTGTCGCCGGCGGATCCTCAACCAACTTTGCCGACACCGGACTTCTTATGGTGGCCATTGCCGAACCGCCTCACGCCACTACGCTTCCGTCCGCCAAGTTTAGCATATATGCGATCCTGTCCGGCGATCCTGGTGTCGGCGCCTTCTCACCTGTCTTCTCCATCGCGCTCTGGTCTCTCTCCCCCTTCCCCTCGATCGTCGCTGTATCGTTTCCGTTTGCCTTTGCCGCCTCACCCGCACAGGTCTTTGCGGTCCGGTTTGACCCGACGCGCGGCGCCTCGTCGCACCTCTATGGCCTCTCGCTCCTCTACGACTCGTCAAACCTCGGGGGTACAGGCATGATTTCTGCACCGGTCGGCACTCCGCTGCCGCACACGCCGCTCGTGCTTGCATCGCCGTGCCCGACCGTCCCTCACGACTACTGCGCTATGGCTGCGCTTCCACAAGCTCTGCCAATCACATCCTTCTCCCAAACCACTCTCGCCGGCCTTCATGCCCCGCTCTCGTCGTCGCTGTGGACGCTCGGCCTCATCGACGACGACACCGAGACCGACTTGGCCATCCTCATAGACGGCGTCATCCATGTCTACCTTAACAACATTGTCGCCGCCGCCGCGTCCTCCGACGAGCCGGCCTGGCGCCATGTCACGGGTCCATCGATTACCGCGTACCGCTCCGGGGCCTTCTCGATTGTCGGGCCAGTCTTAGCCGACGTCGACGCCGACGGTGACCTCGACCTTGTGCTCGCCGTCGTCACCGCTGCAGGTAGCGAGGTCTTTCAGCTCGCATACTTTGCCAACATCGGCAGTGGTCACTTTGCCATCATCGCGCCACTGGCCATCACTACCGGCGTCTCGTTCAACGCCATCGCTGACTCCTTGCTCATGCCGCTCCCTTTGCTTCATGTGGCCTCCCTGCCTTTATCACCTCAGCGCTCGACTCGCCGAGCCCAACGTTGCTTCTGGCTGCGCCAACTTGCCTCAACTCGAGCTTTGAGCTCTTCTACTCCTTTGATCCCATTGCACCCAACCTCGAGCTCACGACCCCAGTCGTCGCGGTTCCTGTCCGCCTCGCGTCCACCCTCCCAGGTCTTTTCGACTTTGCTGTCGCCACCACCTCCGGCCTCGTGCTTGTAGCCAACCCTGGCAAGCCGGGCAGTCCTTGGCTTCCCACCAGTGTGGTGCTTCCGGAATGCCGATTCGTCTTTCTCGCGGCAGCGCCGCTCGCATCGTCGCCATCAACGCTGGCATTGCCCCTGGTTGACGACATGGCCGCCCTGGCTGTCTTGCCGTCGAATGCAAAGGTCATCATCATTGCGCTCACCTCCCAGGCTGCAACAACACCGCCATACACCATCCTGCAGTTCCCATTCCAGCTCGCCCACCAAGTTACCGCCATTGGCATGGGTGAGTTTGATCGCTCACCGGCCGCGCACCTCCTCGATGTCTTTGCACTTGCGAACGAGGCTGTCCTTGTCTACACAGCGCTCGGCAACGGAACGTTTGATCCCAGCCCGCGTCTCATTCAGCTGAGCGTGGGTGGCTTTCCAGCTTCGCCACGCGTCTTTGACCCAGATGGCAACGGCTACGACGACCTGCTGTTCTTTTCAGGCGGAGACGCTGTATTCCTCTTCCAGCGGCCATCGCCGTGGGACGGCGATCCGTTTCGGGTGACCACTCGCCATGTCGAAGGATCGTCTGGCAGCTGCGGCGGTACACCGCGACAGCTCTCATGCCTCGCTGCCACGCTTGCGCGAGGCTCTCGATGCGTGCCCGACGTTGTCGTCGTCTCGTCGCTGCTCGACACCTGCCGGTTTTCCGCCCACTGGTCCCTGACCAAATCGGCATCGGTGATCGGGACCAGCCGCACTGGCTCTGGCATAGACTGTGGCGCGGCGGCCACATCCGCTGGTGGTGTACTCTTTGCCATCACATCTGCTGTTCGCCTCGAGTTGACTAACCTCACTCTTGCCCGTGCCACCTTTTCATCGGCTACGCTCTCGGGCTCGTCGCCTATTTGGCTCGACGGGTGGGCAGTCCTTGCGCTCACCTCGGTCACCGTTGCTGACTTTGACAACACGGGCTCTCTTCCGCACAGCAGCATTCTTGTGGCCCCCGGCTCGGGCGGAGTTGCCTCGCTCGCAGGCGGCTCCCTATTTACTGCCACGGACTCGATCATTCGCGGATGCACCGCCGGCGCCAGCGGCGGGGTCGCATACATCAACGGCCGCCACGCCTCGCCTAGCTCTCGCCTCACCTTTGTCCGGACCTCGATCGCGTCATGCTCGGCCCGCAACGGCGGCGTGGTCTTTGTCGAAAAGGCCGGTTATGTTACCTTTACTGACTCGCAGCTCATCGCGAACTTCGCCACCGACAACGGCGGCGTGGCTTTTGTCAGGAACTTGGGAGCCGTGGCCGCAAGTAACTCGCTCTTTGCGCAGGGCCATGCCGACATCGGCGGTGTCTTCTTTGTCACCGGAAGCACCGTCGCCGCCCGCGGAAACATCTTTACAGAAAACTACGCCCGGATCGGTGGCGTTGCTGCTGTCGCCAACACCTTCTTTGCCGTCGGCGCATTGTATCACAGCCTCGAGGCTTCGTTGCCCATGGTCGAGTATGCCTCATCCGGCTTTCTCTCGCTCTCGAACAGCGAGTTCACCTACAATCGCGCCGACTACGGCGGCCTGCTCTTTAGCTGCGGATGCATATTCAATGTTGGGACCGGCTTTGCTGGCGCCTTCAACAATGCTAACATCGCCGGCGGCGTCGTCTACGCCTGCCCGCGGGCTGGCGGTAAGCCGCTCTCGGGAGCCTTTGTGCTCCACGGCTCGGATGTACAAGCCCTTGCTGCTATGACGGCCGCCAGCATGTATGGGTCTGTCCTTGCTACCCGGCCCATCAGCATCGCGTGGGCCGCCCCACTCCCCGACATCAACGGCATTGCGCTTCCGTCGGGTTTTCCACTCCCGTCCGGTTTTGCCGTCGTCCTCACCGACGCCGCCAACAACTCGGTCATCGACGTCAACATTGTGCTCTCACTCCAAGTCCCACACCCTTACATCGCGTACGGTGGCAGCGCCGACGTGATCGTCTCACAAAGCCCGACCCAGTTTGTCGACGTCGGCGTAGCAGTCAAGTCTACCACCAAGCTCGCCTCCTCGGTCCGGATCAGAGCACAGACGGCGCTGAGCGACGGTGGCGTGCTAGAGACACCACCGGTCACACTTTTTGTCGACAGATGCTACGCAAGCTCGGCACCAGTCAAGCACCAAGATGGCGCGCTGGTCTGTGGCTGCCCTCCCAACTCGGCGCTCGTGGCAGATGTGCACGGTACTTTTGCGGGTGCGAGCCCGGGTACTGGGCTCGCTCATCGCCGGCCACATTCTGCCTCGCCTGTCCCCATGGTGCAGAGTGCGAGGGAGAGCTCCATCTGCCGCGCGCACGCGAAGGCTTTGCGCCAACGAGCGACCCAGGCTACTTTGAAGAGTGTCCGACCGAGGATGCGTGCCTCGGTGATGGCCGGTGCGCAAACGGCGCGCGCGGTCGCCTCTGCTCCGAGTGCAGCGCCGGCTGGTTTGCCTCTGGTCCCGACCGCGAGTGCGTGCGATGCAAGCTTTCGGCGAGCGGATCGGCGGGTGTGTTTGCTGTCATTGCAAGCCTGGTTGTTGTGCTTGTTGTCGGCTACATTGCTATCCGCCGTGACTCGGTGCGACCGCTCTCGTTGCTCATGGGCTCGACCCAGCTGCCAGAGCAGTCGCTTTGGCGGCGGCTGCGGGTCCACACCGGGCGGATTCAGGCTGTGGCAGCCTCGCTTGCGGTTGAAGCCGGCGTGGTCGTGCTTCTTGCCGTGTTTGGCCTCGCCGAGGCGTGGGAAGTGGCTGCGCTTGCCATCGGCCTCGTCGCGCTCACAGTTTATGCGGTGGCCGACAAGAGCTCGCGGGCGCCGCGCGCCGAAGCCGTCCTCAAAACCACGGTCGTGTATCTCCAGATTCTTGGCGCGGTGCTGGCGTCGTCAGAGCAGACACTCGAGTCGTCGACCGCGCTTAAGACGCTACATGCCATGCTTGAGCGGGCATCGCTGACCGTCACGGGTCTCGGCTGCCTCAACCTGGGTCCGACGGGCGAGTTCTGGGCCTTTGTGGCGCTTCCAGGCCTGCCGACGGCAATCGCCTGCGCGTTTGCTTTGTTCTCGCACCGAGTACGCCGCGAGCGTGCGCTCCGTGCCGCCGGCACCATCGCCTATCTTTTTGTCTTTTCGCTGGTGCAGACCGCGCTTGCGCAGCTCTCGTGCGTGCCGGACCCAGCGCCAGGTGCGCGTAGGGCCTACCTTGACAGCGCGCCGTGGATCGAGTGCTGGAGCACCGCCCACACCAAGCTGGTACTGAGTGCAGCTGTAGTCCTAGTTCTGGTGGTTGCTGGGTTGGCTGCTATTGTTCGCGTCGCGCTCGCGCATCATGGCGGTGCAAGTCCAAGCGAGGCAGCTCCGCTGCTTGATTGCAGCGGCTCGTCGGATGGAGACGATGAGCACCCGCTCGCCTTCCTCTGGGAATCATACCGCGCCGACGTGTGGTGGTATGAGGGCGTGGTACTTGTTCGGCGGGTGGTCATCGCAGCCGCCGTTGCCCTCATTCCTCGCGGCTCGGTCTTTGTCAGCGGCATCGTCGCAGCTGTCATCGCCATCGGACTCGCTCTTCAGCTCCACCTTGCCCCGCTCAGCGACCGTGTTGCGCACCAGATGGAAGTGGGCGCACAGGCCGCCATCATGATGGTCCTCCGCCTTGTCTCGATGATGGAAGCGGCAAACGCCGACCGCACCGTCCACCTTCTCTCCTGGCTGGTCATCTGCATCACTCTTGCCGTCGTCGCATGCGGAACATGCCTTGTCCTCGGCTCGCTGTGACCACCCGCGCCAAGATCGTTCGCGCACGTCATCACACGCCTCAAAGTGAACAGAACAAGCACGGTACTCGAGTACCCCCCCCCCCCCCCCCCCCCCCACCACTTATTGGCATATACTCACTGCTCAGCGTGCGGTGCGGACAGACACGGGCGAGGTTCTCGAAAGAGTGCAACATCTGCACCGAGCCGTACACGGTGTTCCGATGGAGGCCAGGAGGAACGGCTCGGTTCAAGTCGATATATATCTATATCTCTATCTATATCTATATGTATATATCTATATATATGTATATGTGTATGTATATCTATGTGTATATATGTGTATATATATATATATCTATATATATATATAAAATATAAAAAAAATATATCTCTATGTATATGTATGTGTCTATGTATGTCCTGTTTATATATGGGTATATATGTATATGTGTATATATATAGTATATATA